CAAGCAGCCTCATTGATCGGACGGGGGCCACTCTAGGCTGGCTTCCTCCACCTTTTCATCATCGATATTTCTTCCACATATTGCTTCTTCGGATTCGGAAACTCCTCAATGGCTCCTTCCACCTCCTCAATGGTTCTTTTGGTACCGCCATTACCAGTTTCAATGAGGTTGGACCCATATTCATTCAGCTTCCAGATTGCAGGGGCGATCGAGAGTTCTCCCTAGCTCCGTGTCCCATCTGCACCGTGGCTCCACTCCCCTTGCCTTCCGCATGGAGAACCATACCAACCTCAAAAGCTGCCACCTCCTGTCCCACCCGGCCCTGGGTAACCCGAGTGGCTGTGGCCAGACCTCTCCCCTGGGTACGACTCCTTATCTCATAGCAAAGCTTCTCCTCCTCGGAAGAAGAGGTCATCGAACCTTCTTCCTTATAGTCACCATCCTCTGCCACCAAGGAAGGAGAACGTCGACCTTGTTTTGGGGGAGAGACAACTAGCACCGGGACATCAATCGAGGTCTCCTCTCCAATCACAGGCATTGCAACATCCGCACGATGAGGACTTGTTCTTATCAATTGATGAGTACGTCCTCCCCGGGGCCGCCCTTTCGAACCAGCCTTCTCCACCGGCGTTTTGGCCTTCCTTAGCCTACGTGGAGCAGCTTTGGGCAACGCCATCCGCTCTCTCCCAGCTTTAGGCACAACCCGACCCCTAGGCTTTGGGTGAGATTGCACATCTTCGTGACCAAGATTCTCTGTTCCCCCATGTTTCATGGTTTGCATGGAGGGTTTCAAATAAGGAAGATCATCTTCAGATTCCTCCTGAAGGATCATCCTTCTTCGAGGATTCATTTTTTGGGTGGGCTGGTCGACCGCACCCAATTCTGACTCACTCTTTTCGTCACCCAGTAGCGCCTGCACTCCACGCAAGTTTCCTTTTGTTGGCCGCTGCTGCAACATCTCCCCTCTCCCGCGCATCTCCACCATATAAACAGCCTGAGAGCGGGAGTCACTGGCTTTAAAGTCCTCGGACTGCCGCGCAGCTGACTCTTCTCTACCGCGACGCCTTCCACCATTCATATCCGCCGGTCGTGGGACTCTTTCCTTCCCTAGGCGAGGCTGCTCTCCAGCCATTTTTCGAGTAGTGGAGTGGCTATCTCCTCGACCCATAGTGATACGCGGCGACTTTCTCACATTGAAACCACGTGGACTTCGACCCTTTTTAATTCGCTCCGGAGCCGGAGCCAGCTGCTGCTTCTAGGGGTGGCGCGACGAGGATTGGGCCATTTTATTTCCCAATCTGAGCTCCTCCTGACCTACACCACTTCTGGATCTCCCTTCACCTTCCCGTTGTTCCCGAACCTCTTTGTTAACCCATCATGTTCTTGACCCGCCCCGATATGCTGGAAGTTCATCGTCATCATCATAGAGACGGGTATCCAATTTCTTTGTGGACATATGGGGTCCGAATCTTTCTTTCTGGGTGGGAGGGTCAAAAGAACAGTCACTCATCGTGTGAATAACTCGGCCACACTTAAAATAGAAAGAGGGCAAGTGCTCGTAGTCACCATAATTTGGGATCTTAACGGCTTCGAAAAATCAATTAAGGCCTTGATCTTGACAAAACATTGGTCTGTATCCGTACAGGTAAAAACACCTGATTCTAGGACATGGCCAATTACGTCGTTAGCCATTTTCCTGCCAAACTATTTTGTACAGCAGTCATCCGGCATCCCCAAGAGTTGAACACGAAAGGGGACGACGCTAAGCTCATCAAAAATCTTCTTCGAGGCATGAGGCACCCAAGCACGAACATGAAGTATTTTGTCCTTAATCATCCAAGGCGTTCGTTTCAGCACCCAGTTCCTTGATGCCTCACTTGGCAACACAAATTCAAACAATCTGTGTTTTTCCATCATCACCTTGATCTTCCCTTTCCCCTGCCAAGGGAAGTTCAGCGACTCCTTCAGATCCAGGACCGACACCTTGCTAGTTGTGAACACTCGTCCCATCAGCGCACAAATGCTACGAAACTTCGTTGGTTTGACCTCCGCCATTGAGAACTGAACAACCTGATCTTCTTGTATGCGAGCCATTGGCGTCACCTGCGAACAAGAAGGAGGGATCAGCGTACCAGGGAGCGGGATAAAATCCGCAAGTGCCTCCCCAAAATCACCTTCATGATTACTATCCGAGCAAGGAGGGGGAGAAGAAACACGAGGCCTCGAGGTGAACCCCAAGAGGCAAGTACAAGGGACAAGGGGAATCCGCAAACCTGAGGTCGGCGCAAGATTTGCGTGGTCAAGTGTATTCTCTTCCGTCGCCCAAAGCACTTCAAGTTTAGCTTTAGTGATAATGTTCTATGCTGGGGTCGGGTTTAAATAAAAGAGAGAGGTTGAGTGCCACCCAAACTCTTGCTCAACCGTTATAGCTAGGTTGCGGTAAGTACGTCTTCTTGGAGGTCTTTCACTTTGAGTGAAGCTCCTGTTGAAACAACAGATAGGGACTATCCCACTAAATCCAGACCCGAGGATACATTACGTGATTTTTGCATTCGTCTGTTCTCCCGAGTTTGCCGGCAGCGTGCCATTGCAGGGGAGCGAGAACCGCCACACCACTGTTTTAGATAGCTTGGAACGTTTGTTTTTCGTCAGTCCCAAAAGTACTATCGTTTGATTTTCTGGCAAGCAATCAAGCTTCCATTTTTTTGGTGATCCAAACCCTGGATCTTCTTTTTGGTATTCTGTTTTTTTTATACCATAAATATTAGCACTATTCCGTGCTCCGGTATGGGAAACGGCCGAGCATTGCAGCCGCCTCCCTGGGTCAACAACCAACCCTTCATCCTGATTAGGGTTATTCTCCGCATTGCATCCAGCTTGTACGTGGACACCGGGTCGTGCCGTCCACGGGCTAGCACGACACCGTTAGAGCACGGCACGAGCACGGACACGAAATAAATGGGCCAGCCCGGGACGAGCACGAATAATTTATGGGTCGTGCCGGGCCTAAACTTCATGGGCACGAGCACGGGCATGGTATATAAATGGGTCGTGTCGGGCCTAATATTTTCGAGAATTTATTGAGTATAAGAACGGACATGACACGAAAATAATATTTATTTGATAGAAAATAGATATAAAAAGAATTATAGGTTCAAATATTACAAAATACAAGTAGAAAAAGAATTATTTGTTGCTGTTAGAAGTGTCATAAAGATATATATATATACGTAATTACTACCATAAGTAAAAATGGACGAAGAATTAAATAAAGCCAAATAACACTCGCTATACTTCCAATTTTCTTTTCCCCTTTATTTGTTACTTTTCTCAAACATTATCGGTTAATACTATATTTCTCCGTCCAATTTTCACATTCTTTTTCATTCTCTCTTTTGTTTTCTTCATTTTCATTAAATACGAATACGAGCATGGCACGAGCACAAATAGGCATGGCACAATTCAAACCGTGCTCGGGTCTGGGTCGGGCCTAGTAAAGTTAACAAATGGGCTTGCATGGCACGACACAAAAACTGACAGGTCGTGCCAAGCACGGCACGAAATTAATGGGCCCAAAGCGTGCTTTGTGCCGTGCCGGCCCAAGCACGGCCCAGCGCCCATGTACAATCCAACCTCACCTTGATTGCGCAGGCTAGCGTCAACCACCACCAGGATTATCGAGATCAAAATCCGGCTGGCTAGACGACCGAACTCTAGGAGAGAGGAGAGAGCTTTTCAAAGAATCTTTCAGCGATGAGAGATCAAAGTAGATTGAAAATATGGACCCTTATATTTAGGGCGGATACATGTATGATTATATATAGAATGGAGAATCTAAAACCATACATATCCCATCCCATCAAACTTTTTTACTAATTTTACCCATCTCATGTACCGTCAAATCAAAAATTCCTTGTATTAATCGATTCAGTAATAATCAGACTCTCGAAGTTGTGTGTTTTGATTGTCATCCCGCTAGATGGAACTCATTTTTCGTTTACTTTTCCCAACGAAGAAGGCCCAAATAACAACCTCCGTGGCCAGGGCCCAGGGCACCGCCCCCGCTGCTAATTTGCAATAAATCTCAAAAGGTGAGTGAGAGCAATAAATTGAAGTGAAAGCAAGGAAATTGGGGTTTGGGTGGGCAATGCACAGCCCGTGTGGGTCCGACCCAAATATCAGATACAAGCAACCGACCAACCAGCGGACTTGTACATATTTTCCTCCCACAAAATCTTTTCCTCTCCTCTCAGGCCTCAGCTCACCACCTATTAAGCCTCGCCTTCCCTTTCCTCTCACCATTCCCCTGTTTTTCCCCCATAGCTCCGCTCCGCTCCGTCCAAAACTGCAGATTCCCGAAACCCCTTTTGGAGAGAAAAGCAACCGCAACGCAAAGACAACGAAGCAACCTCCCCAACTTGCTGCCTCTCTCGTCATCGTCATCAACAGCCCGTACTGGATTTCCTGCTTCAGTTTCCTCTGCCTCGCGCGCGCTCTCTCTCTCTAGCAAGATGGCTTTCTCTGGATTTGACAGTTCCCGAATCCGATTCTGATGTTTTTTTTTTCTTTCTCCTTGGGGTCGGATTAGTTTCTAGTATTCGGATCTAGATTCTTGAACTTGGGTCTTCCGCTTGATTTTTTTTCGAATTCCCTCTGGATTTCTTATCTCCTTCTTTTTGACCAAGTTGGGATCTTTTCCTTTCCTCTGCTCTGCTCTTTCTGCTTGGATTGGGTTCTTGATACATTTTGATTCCAAATCCCATTCTTGATTCTAAACACGCAATTTCCAGCTGGACCTATCTCCAAAGAATATAAACCCCTTTTTGCCATATCAGTCTGTGCCTTTTCCTTACTTTTCCCACTTTATTTTCTATATCCTTCGAGAGCTAGATTGTTGCTCAGAGACAGAGAGAGAGAGCTTGAGGCGAAATTCAGCAATGGCTGCAGCTAAGAACAACATGGGGAAATCCAAAAAGGGTGCTGTTGATGAAACTCGGACGATGTGGGAATCGGAGCTTGGGAAGAGCAGAAAAGCTGATCACGAAGGAGAAGAAGCTGGTGATCCGAGCTTCCAAAGTCGGCCATGGAGGACAGTTTTAGATGGAGCTTCCACGGCCGAAAGACAAAGACCTCTGAAAAAGGTCCGAAGCCCTGAACGTCACGTTCCGATCCAACCCTCTTTCCTTCAACACCAGCAAGTCACTCAATCTTATTCAATCCCGCCTCCCTCTCTGTTTCCTCTTTCCAATTCCAATTCCCCTGCTTTCAACTCTTCAAGCCCGAGGATTCTGTTCCCTTTCGCTTTCGAAGGGTCGTCGTCGATGCCCGCAAATCAGCCCATCCATTTCCCCCCGCCGCCGACGACGACGGCGACCCAGTTTACCACCACAAACCCTTCTCTCCCAATTTTCCCACCGCCACCGCAAAACCAGATGATCTCATTCGACCAGCAGCAGCAGCAAACGACGCCGTTCCCGCCATTTTTCGCGTCAGAATCCGCCCACCACCACCAGCAGCAACAGCAGCTGTACCGGTACTGGAGCGACCCGCTGAATCTGAGCCCGAGGGGACGTTTCCTGATGATGAACCAGGTGGTCGGACCGGACGGCAGGCGGATGTTCCGGCCGACGATGCCGGTCCAGCCGATCAACACGACGAGGCTCTACAGGGGAGTGAGGCAGAGGCATTGGGGGAAATGGGTGGCCGAGATTCGCCTCCCGCGCAACCGCACACGCCTCTGGCTCGGCACCTTCGACACCGCCGAGGACGCCGCCATGGCCTACGACCGCGAGGCGTTCAAGCTCCGCGGCGAGAACGCCCGGCTCAATTTCCCGGAGCTCTTCCTCAACAAGGAAAAACCCTCTGTTTCTTCTCCGCCTTCCCCTGTTCCAACTCCGTCGGAAACTGACCCGAATCTGCCAGAGTCCGAAGCTTCGCTCCCGCCTCCGGCGGAAGAGGAGAGACACGCTCCAGACACTGATTCCGGGATGGGTTCGGTGACCGATGAAGTTCCGGCCGCCGCGGCGGTGGAAGGCGGCGGAGGAGAAGGAGGGGTACAGGAAATGGCGTGGGGAGAAATGGCGGAAGCTTGGCTGAACGCGATTCAGGCAGGGTGGGGGCCAGGGAGTCCGGTATGGGATGATTTGGATGCTAATAACAACCTGTTGATGAATTCCCAAATTCCATTTAGCCATTCTAATACTAATCAGCAGCAAGGTGGAGGAATCATGACCAATATGGCAGGTAGTGGGTCAGCTAATCCTTCGAGTTCGTCTTGTTTCCAGATGAAGCCGTTCTTTTGGAAGGATCAAGACTGATCCTTTCCAGCTTCTTCCTAGGATGGGTTTATGGGGTTTAGGGTTCGATTGGGTTTTGGAAGTTCCCCGTCTTTTCCTCTTCTCCACAGTTTTTGGTTTCAGAGTTTTGCAGGAAACCAAAAACACTGGTTGTGAGTTTTTTTCCAGAAACAGCCGGTGAGAGTGCGAAAAATTGGGATTTTCCACCTACCCAAAATCTCTTCCTTCTTCTTCTTCTTTTCCAGGGAGAAAAGGCTGCATATTTACAAGCCTTTTTTCTTTCTTGCAGAAGACATGCCCTTATGTAGATTTATTTATCGACTTCTTTTTGTCTATGTATTATGTTATGTAATGTAATGTAGGATAGTCAGTCAGTGATAGGTCGACAGAAGGAGACAGTTTTGTGATCTCTTCTGTCATATGGTATTTAGTCTACTGGTCGGTTTGGATTGTATCTTTCTCTGTCTCAGTCCCTGTCCCAGAAAAGCTCTGTTTTTCCATGCTTTGAGGGGGGTTGGGATTGGAGGAATTTGATTAATAGCAAGTCAATGTGGGTTTGTCGGTTTCTTTGTACATTTCTCATCGTGTTTATCGTTTGTTGTTTGTAATACTATAATTGATAATAATGCTTTCCTTACTTTAATTAATGGATCTTGTCGCCGCCTCTGCTGCTGCTTCTTCTTCTCCTTCGGTCCTTTCTTTCTGCTTGATGATGATGATGATGCTGTTTTTCATGCTTGGTCTGGTGATGATAGTGATCGGTAATTGGACGGTTACATCCTCTCCTGATTGAAGTTTCTTTTGCAAAAGAAGGTTCTAGCGAGTGAGCTAGGGTCGCTTCAATTGGTTGACTCAATGGTAGAATATTGGAGCTCCACAGATGATAAGACAATGTTACATGGATGGAACCATTTATCACTAAATAAGAATGCTTTATGGTATAAGATTTATAATTAACTTTATTTGAATTAGTGGGACTAGTTAGTTCATAATATGGTATTATAATTTATATTTGGTTTGGTCAATGGTCTTGTGTTCGAATCTCTACGATTTTCAATATTAACAGTGGATTAAAGCACAACATATTATGGCTTGTGCAAACTTCAAACTCGTGACTTTCATTTGTGACTTTTGTTTGAGAGCATGTGTGTGTAAGTGAGTGGTATAAGATCCATATTTAATCTTCTCCCAACAACATGAGTTATTAGGAGCAGTTGGTTCTTGATATGATATCAGATTGTGATTAAAAGGTTTTGTGTTTGAATCCCAACGACTCACATTGTTAAGCACATGTACGCAATTCGGACCTCTGCAAACTTCAAACTCTTATGAGTTGGCTTTCTTTTGAGGAGGCATGTTAATATATGGTATAAGATCCATAATTGAATCTCACCAAACAACTCGGGTTATTAGGATCAACTGGTTGTTTACATGACATCATATCATTCTGTGACCAAGAGGTCTTTTGTTCGAGTCTCGGTAACCCCCATTTGTTAAGCACATGATATTCGAACTTGTGCAAACTTCAAGCCCCAATGAGTAGGCTTTCAGATAGGGGTGGGCAATGGGCGGGTTGGGTGAGTTTTCGTTTCAAACTGATCCACCCGCTTACTAGTGAGTTGGAATAATTGTGACCCACAATCCACCCACATTCTTCTGCGGGTCGGGTTGGGTGGGTGGCGGATGAGTGCGGTTGGGTCATGGGTTAACTCGCAAAAGCAATTCTCCAACTAACCATTAAGAAAGTTGACTAACATTTATAATAAGTTCATAGTAAATTAGTAAGACTGTATCAATTCAAACACTTCTCAAGTGAATCTGTGTAGTATTTGCATACAACTTTTTGGTACTATATCAACCAATTGTGTAGAGAAAACTTACGTATTTTGTTATTTTGATAAAATTAATAATTTAAAGTTTTCATCACAAAATTTAATGGATATTAACAATAATTTATATTCCAGTATTCAATATCTAATGGATATTACACAACACAATAACCAATAATAGTAGTCAAAACAACATTTTTAATGTGAAAATAGGATGCGGGTCATTCGGGTGACCCGCAATCCACCCACCACCCACCCACATAAGTGCGAGTGGGAGATTTATCAATACGCAATCCACCCACATCAATCACCCACTGCTTGCGAGTCGGGTTATTTGCGGGTGGATCGATATCAATCCGCGGATTAACCACCCATGTGCCACCGCTATCAGAGCTGGTTTAACCAAGTGGTCGTGTGTTCAAATCTCCATGACTCTCAATAGTAATAGTTGATTAAAGCACAAGGTACGGTGAGCATGTGCAAACTTCAAGCCCATGAGTTGGCTTTCGTTTGAGGGGGCGTGTAAGAGAGTGTTATAAGATCCATAATGAACCTTCCACAACAACTTGAGTTATTGGATCAGTTAGATTATGACATGATATAAGAGTTGATTTGGTCAAGTGGTCGTGAGTTCGAATCTCAACGATCCAAAATATTAACAGTTGATAAAAAACACAAGGTATGATAGGCATGTGCAAACTTTAATCCGATGAGTTTCTTTAGGGAGTGTGTATGAGTGGTATAAGGTTCATAATTAACCTTCTCCCAACAACTAAATTTATTGAGATCAATTAGTTCTTAGCAACCTACTCATCCTAAAATTCCTCTTTTTTCATTAACTAAGATATCTTTAAATGTGATTCATTTAAGATTTTTATTATGCTTCTTCCCAACAAAACATTATGCTTTTCTTGGATAACCTATTAGACCATCTCCAATGCAAAAAGACTAAAATGTCAAATTTTGAGCATTTTAGCACCACAAAAAGTGATTTTGCTTCAATGGGAAGACTAAAATTCCAAATCCCCCAATTTGCATAATTTTTCATAATCTAGTTTAATGTTGATTTCATCACTTTACCTATATAATTTGTTAGTTATATTTATATAGATAGTAATAATTAATGAAGATTAACGTTTCAATATAATATTTTTATTTGAAAATTTATTTTTCATTAAATATGACATCATTAAACACATGAAGTATGCACGTTCACATATAAGCATATTAAAAAAAAAATATTAACTAACTAGGATAATTATACCAAGCATACAAAGCAAAACAACAATAACCAATCAAGGTGAAAAATTCATAAAATCAAACACTAAAAATATGGGTGAGCAGGGCAAAAGACCGAATAATTTATGGGTCGTGCGGGGTCTAAACTTCATGGGCACAGGTATGACACGAGCTATAAGTGGGTTGTGGGGAGCCTAATATTTTTTAGACCCTATTGACTATAAGCCCGATATGACAATAAAAAAATAATTTTTTGATAGCAAATAAATATAAAAAGAATGTTAAGTTCAAGTATTCCAAAATAGAACTACATAAATAATTATTTATTGTTGTTAGAAATGATTATAAAGATATATATGTAACTGCTAGCATAAGTAAAAATGGTCAGAAAATTTTAAAAAATAGAAAAATTACAGTCGTTATACTTATAATTTTTTTCTTCACCTTATTTGTTTTCTCAAATATTCTAAATTAATATTATCATTCCCCATAATTTTATTTCCTTCTTCTTCATTCCCTCTTTAATTTTCTTTATTTTCATTAAGCACGAATATGAGCATGACACGAGCACGAGTATGCACGCACAATTCAAACTATGCTTGGGCCCGGACCAGGCTTAGTAAATTTGAAAAATGGGTTGGCACGACACGTCATGAAAACTGACGGGCCGTGCCAAACACGACACGAGATAAATGGACCCGAAGCGTGCCCATCAGTGCCAGCCCAAAAGATGGAGCATGAATGAAAGAATTTAGAGATAGAGGAATGAAAGAAGCCAGAGATAGAGGACTAGGAACTTACCACCATAAGAAGGGATAAAGAGTTTAACATTAGGAAACGAGAATCGTCATTGTTCAAGAAGGATATGCAGACTTCTACAATCGACCCCAAGCAAGTTAATCAACTCCAAGGAAGAGGAAGATTGTAAAACATAGACAAGATGATATCTATGGTGAGGAAGCTAGTCATGATAATGGTGGTATGCAACCATAGGTGTTGGTGGTGACCTTGACACTAGGGTTGGTATTGATGAGGAGAGCCCCATCCATCATGGCACATATCATCCTTTAAATTTCTAGTGTGTACTTTGAATTCATAACTAGCATTTTGAATTCCTAACTTCAATGTGCAATTGTGCTTCCCATTTGAAACAAGAGCAAATTTTATCAGTAAATGTCACTTAAAATAAGTAAAATACGTTTATAAGTCCCTCAAACATAAGTAAAACATAGTTAAAAATACTCAAACATTAGTCACTTCACTACTCACAACCGGCTTCCTTTCAAAGGTGTTCAATTAAATCTTTCTCGAACTTTCTATGTTATCACCATCATGAATCGATGCATTGGAACCGAAGTATTATAGTAGTGATGGCATGTTCCAATTCAAGTTTTCCTCCGCAATATTCACGATCACTATTATCGCGCATCTCATCGAACTCATTATGGAACCGAAGTACACTACCACACACTAAACTGATAACACTACCACTACACTAAAAACAGTACCACTACCACTAGAACTATAACACTACCACTAGACTGAAAATCACTACTACTACACCAAAAATCACTACCACTAGAATGAAAAGAATATCACTATACCAAAAAATGTTACCACTAGGCAAGAATGGGAAAAAACAAGATATGGAAGGCTAGTGATGAGCAACGAGAAAGGCAGACGACGAGCGACATCGAGTAGGTGACAAAGGCGATGAGCGCTCGCTAGAAGGAGAAGAAGTGCTAAGGGAGAAGGGTTAAGGAGGAGGAGGAGAGGAAGCATTGTGGTGAAGGGTTTAGGAGGAAAGACGACGGTGAAGGGTTGAGGAGTGGGGGTGTTCAAACGGTGTGGTTACCATGGTAACCGTTTTAACCAGTACTATTTGGATAATTTGGTTTGGTTAATTTGGATAATTGGTTTGGTTTGGTTAAAGTTTTTAGCTTGTTTGGTTTA